ATACCGAGAACATTCGGGAAAATAATAACCAAAATACTTTGAAAAGTGTATAGAAAAAAGTGTCCCCCGCTGGGACAGCGGTAAGTCTACGGATTTACAATGCTAAAATCAGGGGTTCGATTCCCCTCGGTAGCTTTCCTATAAGAAAAACACACACACACACTAGAAAAAGACTATATTATAAATACAAGATTCGACGAATAGTTAATGACTATTGGGTAATCATTCAATGCTTTACTTTCAGCTAGCAGTTAAGTGTTTAGTTTCAGGGAAATATTTGGAACCTTGTTAGTTATCGCATATTGGGAAGTTTAAAAACGTTATAAGGCTCCTGGGCAAGTCCATGTTATGGTAGTTTGAAGCAATGGCGCCCTTATTTTCTGATTTACAACGCTAAAATCGGGAGTTCGATTCCCCTCGTTGGACACAGCAGATAGTCCAATGTGGCTTTGGTAAAAGAAAAAACACACGCACTTATTTTTTTAGGCCCCTTGAATAAGGTACAAGCAAATTTGAAGTTAATGATAATTAATATATATTAAGTTAATTACAGAATATGAGCTAATTATTCGAATTAAATTAGAATATGATGCATCTAACTTTTAAGGATGATATATTAAAATTAAACGATTATAATAATTATTATTTACTTGTACAACACGGCAAGTAAGAATGAATTAGGTACATAAAAAACAATATAGTTATTATACAACATTACGGAAGCATGCTAAAACATTACCCTAAAATCGTTTTTCCCTTGCTTTGGCGGGAGCAAAATCTCTAATTATATCTTCATAATCTATTTGCCTAAGCAATGTCCTTTCTATCGTAAGCACTCATTTAACATCGAAGCACGCAATTCATTTTTTACTCTAGCCATTTTAGAAAAAGCTCTCTCTGCACTGTAATTCATAGCACAAGCATATCCTTAATGCCACATCAACATTAGGAAAAACAGATTCCAGTTTGATTGTTTTTTATTGCTTTGATGCATTGTTGGGCGGATGGTGTTTCTCTATCAAAATATTTCGCAAATTGTACCATTTCGTCGGAAAAAGAGTTATCTAAATCTAGAGAGTACATGTCTCCCAATCTTTTAGTTGCAGCAAAAATTTCAGTCTCATTAAAATTTTTGAAATTAGATAGAAAACCAAACTTCATTTCTGTTGCTTTATATGCGGCAAGCCGATATTCCAAACACATTTTTAACTTGCCAAAAAACTTTCTACGAAAACTTCTGAGTTCCAGATAAACTAATTGCACCTTCAGAAGTATCATCATTTGCCAGCTTTCTTTTTCTCTTTCTATAAGTCTCACTCCTAAACTGTTTTTCTACAATATTTGAAAGCTGATGAGCATGAATTTCGATTCTATCGAATTCTTCGCATAGTGAATTTACATATTTCTTCAGCGAACTGATAAGCTTTACAGCAGTAGACAAATCAAGGCTCTTTTCTTGAAGCTTAGCACTTGTAGCATCAAATCTTCGAAGAATTTTGTACCAAAACACTGCCATAAAAGCAATACCTAACGTTCTCATTTTATTCATCAAAGCAGTAGTTTCATTTCTTACTGTTTGCCTTGCATCAATATCCTTAGATAATTCTTCAAAGTTGGTATAAATTCTATTGTAGTTGTCATACAGAATTTTTGTTGAAACTGATCTGGCTGACCATCTTGTTCCACTGAGGTTCTTAAGAATAACTGGCCTCCCGTCATCGTTTCTTAAGCCATCGCAAATGCTTTGCCAACGCTTGGTTGAAGTAGCAAAAAAATTGTACAGAGTTTGAAGAAAATTTAAAAATTCGATGCACATTCGCAACTTTCCACTGCATTCACGCCTGCTACACTTAATGAATGTGCTGTACAAGGGATGTAGGCCATCGTATTTACAGGTCATATTTGCTGAATTATCGTACGATTGTCCACGTGCATTTTGAATGTCAATTCCCATTTCATTTAATTTTTCTACACATCTTCAGCCATTAATTTATGCCCACTTGAAGAATCATTACCAACAAAACGCTTCTGTGCACACATTTCTCGTCCACGTATCGTAATATTATAGCTGATCTCAGTGTGAGAGATCGGATGAGGAATCTACAGTAATTGAAAATTACTTCGTATTGCGAATTTCATCAGCAATTGCATTATACATATTTTCAGCCATCAAAATAAACTGTGGGGGTTAAATACAAGGTAACTCCCCGGCCTATATTTCCACGCATTTCAAGGTGCTTGGCCAAGAATGGATCGAATTTAGCTGCAATTCTGATGCAGCTAAAAAGTTGCCATTGTTGAAATCTTCAGTCTCTTCTTTATCACATCTAAGTACTAATCCTCTTCCACACAAGAATTTTAGACATTCAACAACTCGACGCAATACCTCCCGTCAATATCATATTTCGTTTTCTAAAACATTGTTTAGCTTTGAATCCACAGTTTCTGTGCTATTAGTTTGTCTCATCCAGCTGTTCACAGAATAAATGTAGGCTTTACTTTTTTCATGCTTTTGTATAGCTCTAGCTAAAGTCATGCGACCAATCGCAGAATCCTTTTATAAAAGAATAATCAGAATCTTAGAAAATGCAAAACAAAATTCCAGTAAAATGAGAATAAATCAACCAATCTCTTTTTTTTTCGTTTCGCCGTTTTTTAGTATAATATTAAAAATGTTCAATGAACAGCATCTCTTAACATCTGTTAATTAAATACCTCTCTTTGACGCTGAAAAATCTTGCTCTGCTATATTTTGTTTTGGAATCATATTTTTGCCAGTCCAAAATTCTATTATTCTTTTCCTATTCGCTAGCCATAACGCTGAATCACACGAGTTACCGTCTTCTTTGCCAGAATTAGTAGTGAGATTTTAAATCCGATATGCTTTTTCCTTTTTCGAATCATAAGGAGATGAAGCTGCACTTGTGCTAGAATTTTTAGTTGCTATAGTGGGTTGAGAATCACTCAGGGTAGAAGCTTTGTCCTTGAAAGGGCTGGTTGGGTTGTTCTGCTCCTCTGTTTCCTTCCAAATTGAAAAAAAAAACTTGGATAGCTTGGGAACTTTTACTAAAGCAGATTTTTATTTTTCTAGTTTCTCCTCCCCCCCCCTTTTCTGGAAACCACTTTCATATTTTCCTTCCATGTTTCAGAACGCCGATTACTAAGATAATTAAAAGATAAAAATTATTTTCAAGAATTATTCTATGATTGCATAATATTGTTGCGTCATCGAGATCATGTGATTCTCACGCTCTCTACTTTCTAGAATTATCCTGTACTTTGGCGAATGCTCTAGTGTTTGCTAGATGGGGTAGGCGGATATATATAAGAGGGGAAAACGTGACGCGAGAGATTATTGTAATGTGTGGGTAGATAGTGAGTAATTGAACTGCAGTCAGAAGTATTATTGACGTTCGTTTGTTTAGCGCGATTGTTGAAGTTGAGTGTATCGGTAAAGTTATATTCGGAAAGAATAAACCAGTTTTATTAAGTAAAGACTTGTGTCGTTAAAATTTCGTCGGAACGAAGTTACGGAAAAATCAATTAACGAAACGGAGACGTAACAC